ATTTGATAGATTACAAAAATTTCATAAAAAAGGTCCATGTGAAAAAAAATAAATAAGTATAGGGAAGCGTCGAAAAATAAAGTATTTTGTATAGTGTTACATGTTATTGTATAAGCCACCAGAAAACTTTAAAACTTACACATTTTAGAATATAAGGAACCACTTTCGTCCACGACTTCTTCATTTCCAGGGGTTTTTGGTGCTTGTGGATTCTTTTCGACAGGTTTGACGGTATTTCTGGGGGACTTACGACCCCTTTTAAAAGTTTTTTTATCTTTGGTATTCATTCCGGCAGATTTAGAGGTATACTTCGGAGATATAGAAATTTGAGGATTGATACGTCTATGATCAACAAAATACATTGTACGTATTACCGAAAGTTAATTGTTACTGCGGATTTCCGAAATACCCGGCAAAAACGATACACAACATTTCGAGCGCCAAAAGTGGCGGTGAACATACTACATTTAAATAAACGAATAAAAGGTAGAGAATTCATTTAGAAAAAAAAAAATGAAATAAAAAGAAAATTAATTCACGCAAAAATTCTAATGCCATTATAAAATTTCTAAATATATGCATCGAGAAAGCATGGACAAGAAACTATCAAAAAGAAAACCGACAGGTTGGCCGGCAGAGATTGAATATTTAACTAATAACATTTATGAACCAGTTACGTTGAAACCAGTTCCATATAGTTTACCGTTGCCAAAAGAACACCCAAGTCATCCTTTCACATCCTCACCTTTACCTCCGGTCGCGTCCGATCCAGCAATGCCTAATTCTTGGGTTAGAATCAAGTCGTTAAAAGAACAAAAAGACCACCCTGCTTTTCCAGGCTATGGACTATTTGCGACAAAAGAACTCAAGGTGCTTTCTCTTATTATTAGTTATACTGGTATAGTCACGACAAGAACAGTTGGTGGTGAAGAAAATAGTGATTATGTTTTAGGTTTTGGCAGTCAACAATGTATTGACGGTTGGAAAAAAGGTACGTATGTTTAGGTCGGGTACAAAAATATTCGGTGGCTTGGGCCACAAGTCATGTGATTTATATATTATTAGAAAATTTTGATATGCAATGAGAGGACTTGTAATGATTGGACGTCAAGTTGTCTTTTTTTTTAGTCTATCATTATGTAACATCATCGTGACAAGTCATATTGCTAAAAATTTCGCGCATTTATTTTGTCTTCCAGGAAGCGAAGCAAGATTTATCAACGATTATCGTGGAATCCTTTCAAAACCAAATGCAGCATTCCACGAATACATTGACTCTCAAAGTGGGCAGGTCAAAATGGGAGTTTGGGTCATGCCAGGGGCAGGAAAAATTAAAAAAGGTCATGAAATCGTTGTCAGCTACGGAAAAAGCTTCTGGCATGAAAGGGGTTTCTTAAAGGAATGAATATTGCCACGTTATTAAGTCATAAATAAACCGCATCATTTTATATAAACTTATTTTCGCATCAAGGATTCATGCACGTGAATGCGTAGTCCATTAGCATGATCTCAATCCGACGATTTTAAAAACATCACATATTTGTCATCTTGCATGTCCTTTCCGACATAAGTCTTAACATTCGCCTGCCTTTTTAACATTATCAAGTTTATTTTTGCCATCGTCTTTAAAAGAAAGCATCAATACATCTGTAGTAACATAAAAAAACGCCTCAATGAAATCTGTATTTGGCAAAGTCTAGAGAAACTTCTTCATAAAAGAAACGTTTATGCCTGTAACAAACATGAAACATATCCAAATACATAATTTAATGCTGAAAACCTCATTTCAATGCACACTCTTCTGAAAGAAACGGGATCGGCGCATTTGTCTGAATGCGTATGCAAAAGGGGATTGATTGAAGAATTATCAAATCACGGGTCAAGATAATATAACAATCTGTTATTTATTTGATAGAAGATACAAAATTCACAAGAAAAGATGATAAATTTCTAGTGAGACATATTAAATCAATCTATACAAACAAAAAAGAAATGATGATTTATAAAAAAACCATGGAAACTATCATTTCTCACTGAAAACAAAATAATTATTTACACATGACCGATCACGAGACTTATTGGTAATCATTTCGCAACGAAACATTATCAGTTATTTCAATATATATATATATATATATATAAACTTTATCAACAGTGAATTTTCTTATTGTTGGTGCAATTTCTGACATTTTAAGTTAGATCTTGTAGATCTCGAAAGAATTAAAATGGTATCTTTTATCTAAAGGGTTTCATCGTGAAAAAGATTAAACATACTCAGCAATAATAATAAGTTTAATATTTTTGTTTTATAATAACAAATGAATAAATATCCATCGACCTTTTCAATAAGCCGAACATGAAAGTACAGACAATAAAGTTGCTTGCTATTCTTGATCATGTGATCATAAAATAGTGCGGAATTATGTGTCTGTGATCAACTTTCTTAAATGAATGCTAAGTGTGTTAGTGTATTTCACGCTTATCAACAACGCATACATACAGCATTATTCGCACTGCACCTTAACAAGTGTCAATGAAATGTGAATATGTTTTGTGCCCAATAAACTTTTTATTAATTTATCCTAGAAAATTTTATCCTAAAAATATGCAATAGGATAGTGAAAGTACAGAGAGAATATTTAAATTCCGATTCCTTAAACTTGTTTACTCCTATTATGGTATATTTCGAGAAAGAATTATATAGATACTATGTGTAATAAATTTCCTCTGAGTCATACGAAACTTCATGAATCTGTAACATTTGTGCTCTTTTATTAATCATCAAAATCTACTTTATTAATACCATCCAAATATATTTTTAGCACATCATCAGCCGTTGGTTTTAAAGCTCGGTTGTCTGTGCGTTTAATGTATTTCTGTGGAAAATATCTAGTGATAATGTGAGCAAGACCGTAATTTCGATATTTGCCTCTACCTCCTAACAACGCGTAGTAGGTAGAATATAGAACAGCGGCAAGAACAATAAACATGGTGAATACGGAAACAGGTTGAAGGAATGGTTGCTCGCGAGTCGTGGGTACTTCAAAACTTCCTGGAATAGAGTTCGAAAATGAATAAAACTAAAAGCATACAAAATTTGTTTTACCTAAATCATATATACCTGGTTTAAGATGAATAAGTCCAATTGCACTGTTATTTGTTCCAAAAGCATTAGATGCTACACCTATTTCAGATCGGAAATCCACTTGCCATTTCGTGGTTCCATTTAAAAACACATGTCTCTTCCAGAAAAAAGTGAATGCACGTTCACGATTGGCATCGAATTGTGTTAAGCTATAAGGATTCAATATTTGTGGCGTCTTGAGCGAAGAAAGTTCAGTAGCTGAAGCTTCGCTGTCAGGTAAATCGAAAGGATTCCATATCATAAATTGCATCTTGGAAATTGTCGATGCGTTGAAGAATGAATATTGAATGAACATAGCAGATTGGAAGGCGGTCCAGTTTTTTGGAGGTATCACTGGTTTTGAAAGTAAAATTGGGGTAGTTGTTTGAAAAACATAGCATCTAGTAAACCATCCATTATATAAATTATCTCCAGTAACGTTTACAAATTTGATTAATTTGGGACAATTTATCGAAGTATTGCCATAAATTGTACAGTTAAAATTATATTGTACGTCGTCAGTGCACAAAGAAAAGGCCGGCGGTGGAAGACTATCGACATTTTCGAATGTTAATGTCGTATAAGTAAGATTTGATCTAGCTACATCAACTACTGTATTCGCGATAAGATATATTATGAGAATAATTGCAAAGAAAGCTTGAAGAATGATTGTGATAAGCTTTCGTGTTTTCATTATTCAAGAATTATATTAAGAATTATATTAAGAAATCGGATTTAACTAAGAATAAATAAATTTAGAGAATCGTTAGTAACAACAAAAGAGATACCAGCTCTCTGTATTAGTGGGTTAAAGAAGGAACAAAATGTAAAAATAGTCTTATTGGGCTTTTTCAGAAAATGGGACGTTTGAATCCATTTTGTTGCTAAGGAAAACCCATTTTATTTTATATTGTATTTCATGAAATGGACATTTCCATAATAGTTCTACAAAATTTCTATATCAATTGTAGTCACATTGTAAGTATCGACTATCAAAGTCTTTCAGTGCGTCATCTTCCAACACAAATGAATGCAATTTCAAGAACAAAGGTAATTAATTTAATTACATACGTATTAATCTTCCAAATATAGCAAATTATTGTATAACAAAGATCTTGAGATTGTTCTACATATGCACAAAGATATTATTCTAAATTTTTTTTTATTTTTTGCCGCAGTATTATACTATATATTTAAACCGTTAATTCAAACATTCAAATTCGCCAATATTTTATAAAACTTATATTTGATTTTTCTTTTTAAATATTTTTTAAAAAATACTGTGCTATAGTTATACTGTATATAATTATATTATAAGCTATACTGTATATAGTATTAATAAACAATAAAATTATTTATTTTTAAATAAAAGTATATATATTATATATGTTATTTGATACTAAGTGTCACCTGTGGATCATCTTTGTGTCGATAAAATGTTTGTTTATGTTAGATTAGGGTTAGGGCGAGCATCTAGGTTAGGGTTAGAGTTTAGGTGTTTATATAGTAAAATCGCTCAAGAAAAACTTTTTGTTAGAGTATAAAAGGTGGTTTCCTATGCAAATTTGGAGTTATAGGCGATTTTTGATGAAACGAACGTTTGTTTTAAATTTTTTTGTTCGTGCCACGTTATACGTACCTGGTCATGAAATATGATTAGTTTTACGCCAAAATTAGTGATATATAAACCATTGTTATATATATAACCAATAACTTAGCTCTGATTAAATATACAATATATATACTGTATATATATAATTTAATTATTTCTTTTTTGACTATTGCTAATTTGCTCTCCTGGTTAAATCACCAAGAGCGCTATATTTCAAAACAGTGTTGGCTTGACCAAACCAGTTTGACTATTAGACCAGACCAATTTGACCAATTTGACTGGTTTGGTCAAAGAATCTGTGTTAATCAAATTGGTCAAATAGTATAT